GCTAAAGGTGTCTGTTGTTGTTGATATGTATTTGCATGTCAATGTTGAACCTATTTATTACCAATTACTATCCCACATATAGGACTAAATTAATAACTTATCATATAATTTCATACACATTGAAATGAAAACTATGTAGATAAACTTCAATTTAAGATATTTCTGAAAATGTCATTAATTATATCTTCTAATTTCATTCAAAATATTTGTTAGTCAATAAAAATAATATATTACTATGCTCACGCATAACGTTGGTAAAAAATCTATTTTGATATTATAGAAGGTATATTAGTGGTATACATTAGTGGTTCAAATGTAAGGAATTTTCCACATGTATAAATCAAAAAACATTAAATATCACTAGGGATACCCCAGACGTATTTGTTAATTATATATTTATTTGCTATTTTGATCTCATAAAGATAGTATTTCTAGTGTTTTGTGATTTTATATATTTTTAAAATAAATGTAAAATTAATGATAAGTTGATCTTTTTAATTTTTATTTTGATAACTATTTACTTTTTGGTAACATATTATTTATATTACTCTTTACTCTTTAGTTAATTTATCACTAATTTTTTTATCTTTTTTTAAATAAGTTTCATATATATTTTTCTGTATATGTTGATGCATATTGTTTTTCTCCGAAAAATCTTCAATTTATTAATGTTTTAGGGAAAACAATAATTTACTGATAAGCACAAATAAAAAATTTATAAATGTTTAAGCAAAAAAAAATCTCCAAACTATCGATGTACCACTTAAAAATATGTATGAAATTGTTGTGTTATTTTTTGTTGCATTATCCCAACGTTTATCTTATCTATGCTATAATCATGAATTATACTCATATTAAATATAGGTTAGTATTTAGTTAGACTAAATTATACTTAAGTTTAGTTATAAAAAAAATGTCATTTTTAATTTTAGTTTTGGTTAGGAATTAGGTATAACTTTTGAATGAGATTTTTTGTGTAATTTGTTATATGTTTTGTTCATTTAATAATTTATGTTATATAATTTTTTTATTGTAATTTTGCTTTTCTAATATCCTTAGTAACTAAAACAAATGAGTTATACTTTATATTTGACATCCAGATTCATATGAATTACCTTCTTACAAACATCAACTTGTGGTTACATATATGTTACTATTAACACATCACAAATACTATTCTCATAAATTTGGTAATTTTCTACATCCTTGAGTTTTGGAACTTCAGATCCAATATGATTAAGAAACTACATGTCGTGAATATTAAAGAACCAAATTTAGATATTTTTATCTTTATACTTATGTCTAAGTAGACACTTTTAATCTTGGAGATCACTCCAAGCTCCGAGGAAGAACATGTGGTTTGTCGTAGTCCCCATTAAATGCAAATTCAGATTGGATCACTTGGTGGTAACGTCTTTCCTATTGTGTTGGTCCAAAACTTTCTCGTACCATTTCAAGCTCCCTTACTGTCACCTATTTAATTCCTCTCGGCCTCTCTCCCTCTCTCCACTCCTGTCATATGATGGATTAGCTAACAATAATACATAATGATGACTTCGTATTGTTGATTCACCACAAATCTACTCCATTTATTGAGTAACAATATTAAATAACATCCAAATAACAATACTATTTATCCTAACTTGGTTTGAATGCAGCCACACAGACACTATTAGTCTACCAACAACTTCATTAACATACTAATAAAACAAATGAGAAATCAAACAAAGTAGCTTAACATAGAAGACATGGTTAGAAAATAATAAATCAACATTTTTGTTTCCTCTTTGTATGTCAAATTGTTCAATACTCGGATGCATAAGATTGAACATGAAAACCGTCTTCATTTTCTCCTCTTTGATCTTCGTAGAATTGCAACACCAATTTTCCAATGCATCAACAGCAACTCCAAGAATGTAGCTTTTGGTTGAGAGTGAATTAAGTATCAAACCAAACACAAATCAGAGGTGGAGATATCAAATTCCTATCTTTACTCTATCGCTAGCAAGAACAAACCAATCTTAACTATTTAATAACCGTATATTTACGCCAAAAACCTAAGGGAGAAAAATAGACCAAGTTTCATTTAGAGGAATAGAAAAGAGTGAACCTCGTAAAGATATGGGTTTAGGTTTAGAACATGTGGGTTAGATTTTGCACATCATCACATGTTTTTATGACTGAGTGCAAAGTAAAATCTCCAACTATTACCACACATATTTATGTCTTCTGGTTTTAAAAGTATGAGACGGGAGAAGCGAATCCATGTACCTCGTTAAGTGAAGAAGTTAGAGAGATGCCATGGACGCAACTACTGGGAGTGACGGAATGATACACAGAAAGTTGTCGACGCTGCAAAATATGAGATTCCCGTTAAACTAAATATGCTACATTGAAAGAACTTATAATAGTACAAATCAATATTGAGACAAAATAAAAAGTACAAATCAATTGAAATATGATATGAAGCCTTTTACCTTCAAATCTAAATCCCATCAAGGATTTTGCGCTAAAAATATAAACCAAATTTCAGTTCAAGAGATGTGATATTTCTGAGATTTTTTTCAACTTTATACTTTTAGATTGCGTAGGTAATTAACATAATGAGATCCTAAAAGACAAAGAAATTGGAGCTTAGCAAACGGAGCTTAGCAAACACCTGAATGATCTTTTGAACCAGAAAAATAGCCGAAGCAAGAAAACGTAGTCTTGTTCTCCGTGGCGCAGAATTCCCCTCCTAAATGTTCGCATCAGTTAGAAATCTCATATAAGATCTAAAGCTCAAGTAAACCTCAGTATTATACCTATAATTGTGAATTTTAATATCATAACTTATAGTTCTATTCGTAGGTTGGATATAAAATTCAAACCTTGACCAGAGAAACGAAAGCTTTCTCCTCGAGCTCATCTTTAGAAACAGTCTTTCAAGCAACTTGTAGACGGGCTAGATCTTCATACTAAAAACATAAATTGCAATCATAAAATAAACACACATCTCCAAGATTCTTGTAGAAAAGATTCAAAGAACCTAGTATATGAGGACTTGTCTTTATATATAAGCCCTTATTGGCCGCTCGAATTCACTGCTTCTACCTGAAAGCACTAAACCCCAAAGCAAAAAGAGCAACCAAAATTACTTATCTATAAACTATTAATTTGTTGGAATGACATAAGACATGATAAAGTGTTAGGCTG